CCTGGGCAGAGTCGGGCCAGTGTGGTCTCCCGATCAGCACGCACCACGACAGCTCACCTGCCTGTGCAGGGGCTCCAGGGAGGAGGTCTGGATGCCATGTCCCGTTCCACTTGGCTGGCCTGGCTCCCGAGCAGATGGGCACCGCTCACGTTTCCTTCCAGTGCGGGGCTGGGGGGGGCAGTGGCCCCTTGAGTCAAGGGTGGGTGTGGAATCCCGTGGAGCTGGGGGGCGGCGCTTCCTGGGCTCAGAGTCTCATTCAGCTGATAGCGTTACCCAGCCCAGACTCACCATGCCTCAGCTTCCTCGGTTCAAAGAGGGCGATGCCACCATCTCCTCACCAGCTGCACCTGTGGTTAAACGCCCAGGAAGGCGCCCAGCCTTGTAACTGACTCGGCCTTTTGATCGGATCGGACACTTGACCAGGATGGATGAGCACGTTCTGAAAGGGAGGTGATTCCAAACTGCAGGAACCCATGTGAGTCCGGGGCCATGTGAAGAGGCGAAGGAAGCCGAGCTTGGCCTCTGCCCGGACTCCTTGTGGGCTGGGCAGCAATGACCAGCGATGATGAGCGCCCGGGCGCTGGAGACAGGAGGTGACTCCCACAGAAGGAAGGTGGGCGTGTCTGCTGATGCACTGATGTTAACACGTCTTATTGTGTCCTTAGAGTCCTTGGAAATTGAACACGTGTGTCAGTCACAGAGGTAGGCCCCCAGGGCAGGGGCCAGCCCCTCCCAGGGACACCGTGCGTGTAAGGTTTGGGCCTTACGCCTTAACGCCCACGTCATGTGTTCTCCAGTCAGGCAAACGTTCCAAGGGGTCCTGTCGGCTTCCCTCAGCAGAGTCTGTGGCACCGGTGGGTGGTGGCTGCGCGGTGCCTGGGGAAAGGAGCCCTGATCAGTCAGCCATGTTTGCCCCAAGAGGAGGCAGGGGAGGAGGGGGCACACAAGCCAAGTGCTGGCTCAGCCACCTGGTGACACTGCACAGCTGCCAGTCAGCGCCGGGCTCCTCCTTTCGCGGCTCCTAGGGGTTACCTCGCGTCGAGTCCATCCCATACGTGGAGGACACACACTGCGGCCTTGATTGTAGCCACAGAAGCCAGAGACCAACTGGACACCATATGTATGTTCATATCGTGGAATTCTCTGGAGCTTAGGAAACAGTCGGTGGGGAGGGTCTTTATGGTAGATACAGGACACTCCAGGACATCAGGGAGGACAAGGGCCAGGGGAGACCAGCGGGACGGGAATGTTCCAGGTGTACGGACACAGGGGTCGGGGGATGCTTCCAGGAGGCGCCGAGGCTGGCGCGAGTGGCGGCCTCGGAGGCGAGGTGGGAGGCTCGCCTTTCCTGCGGGGCTACCCGGTCTCTGGCACGTCCGCGGACCTCTTCCCACTTGAACAGCAGCAGTCTTTGTTAATTACAGGAACGTCCACAAGGACATGGTGAGGGGACTTCCTGCCCATCGTGGGATGACCTGAGCCCCCCTCGGCAGTGAGCCTCAGGGCCCCTCTTCCAGGGCCACATCCCGGTTGTCATGGGGGGCCATTTCCCCTTCACACATCCTCACCCAGGTTTCCACCACTCTCTTTGTGGGCTCTGGGACCCCACTCCCTTCCCTCCCCAGTTCTCTGTCATCCTCACTCCCTCACCCACACCATCAGGACCCTACGTGTCCCCCGTGCCCAGCCCTTCCTCTCTGCCTGCGAGGCCTTACTGCCAGGCAGGGCCCACAGGAGGCAGAGCTCAGGCCCTCTGAGCCCCGTCATTCACCGGTTCCCTTGCAGCTAAGTCCAGTTCCTTGTAAAGCCTCATGGGAGAAACAGCAGCCAAGGAATAACATCTGGCTCTGTGTCCCGTGTTCCCACCCCAACGTGGGTGCTGGGCTTGGCTTCAGGACGCTCTGACCGCTGAGATGTCAGCCAGCCTAACCCAGCCGAGGCTTGGTAAGCACCTGCTCTGGGGCTGCCCTCTTAGAGCCCTGCGACCACCAGGATGACCAGGTGGAGGAGGCCCTGACCTGATCCCAGAGGTGAGCCCATGTGAGACTTGCAGCAGACCTGCTCAGATGGCCCCAAGCTAAGAAGTTTTCATCACTGCATGTGGGGATGTTTGTTACACAGCAGTGGGTAATAGATATGCCTGTGTATGTTGTGACTTTGTTCATATCAGCCTCTGCAGTCAGCCCAGAATGCAGTTCAGAAGGTCACCCTCACTCTGGTTGGCTCAGGACTCCCTTTCCCCTAACTGCCCCTTAGCTCCATGTCTCTGACATGCCATACCCTCTTACCCAGTTCCCGGAACTTCTCTCCAGTTTTGGATGTGCCTGCTCTGCCAGGCCTCTGCCTGTGCTCTGCCCTGCACCTGGGCTGTCCTTCCATCTCCACCTATGCGCTCCTGGTCCGCTCTCCCGCTAAGGCTTGGACGGCATCCCTGGGTGTCCCCCGCTGCCAAGATCATATTCACCAAGCTGCCACCTTGTGGCACCAAGCAGACATGTGTCCACGTCCGTCTCTCCCTGCTGCTGGTGCCACCATGAGCAAGAGTGGGATCTCGCTACCTCCTTGTCGAATTCGCCAAGGCCTGGGACAGGCCTTCTGAGATGGGATCTCACCACTTCTCGCCGCCTGGCCCTCGATGCTGAGCTCCATATGGCAGTACCACTTCCTCCACTAACTGCCCCCAACATCCTCGCCTCCAGAGGCCGTGAGCCATGCCTGGCATTTGGGTTTCAGCCCTCACACTTCATGAGTCTCAAACTCCTTTCTCTGTGACATCGTGGCCCCGTCACCCCTGAACCTGTAGGAAATCAGGCTTCCCAACAGAACAGAGTACAAGGGGCGTGCCTTCTGGTGCAGGAATAGACAGGATCGCCTGTGACAAAGCTTGGGAGCTGGGTGTCAACCGGAGACAGTAATAAATATGTGAAGAAGTAGATTGTTAATTCTCTAATCGGTGTAAGTGGTTTCTTTATTTTTCAACTTAGTATTATAGATACACATTTTTAGACACATACCAGATAGAGAGAAGAGTCCAGGGGCCCCTAGACCCGCCCAGCTCAGCAGTCCCAGACTCCTTTCAGGCTTCTTTTAAATGATAGTACAAACACATGCCTGTCTTAGACATTGTCATAAACACAAATGCATAAAGAAATTAAAATCTATATTCGTAACCTCTGCCCTGGAGACAGCCAGGGTTTCCCTCTTGTCACTTATTCCTTGTTTTTAGGTTAGAGTTTATGCTCATCACGTGCACATAAGGAGTCAAATAGTGCTGCAGGGTTTCCACGTCCGCGCAGCGCCCTCTCGCTCTTTTTATTGCTTATCCAAGTAGCTACTTCTGGAATGATTTTAGTTTTAGGCATTGTCTGTTGCATTCATCTGCTCAGGCTGTTACAACAGAACACCACGGATGGGGTGGCTGAAACCACCGACCTTCGTTTCTCATGGTTCTGGGGCTGGAAGTCCAAGCTCAAGGGGGTGGCAGGTTTGGTAAGGGCCTGCACCCTGGCTTGTGGATGGCTGCCTTCTGGCTCTTCACAGAGACGAGAGAGGAAGCTCTGAAGCTCGGCTGTTATCTTCTTCTTATAAGGGTGCTTATCTCATGGTGGGGCCTCCACACTCGACCTCATCTAAACCCAGTCACCCCCAAAGGCCTCACCTCTGGATGTTGCCACATGGGGAGTTATGTCTTCAGTATAGGAGTTTGGGGGGGACACAGATACTCAGTCCATGACATTTGCTGATCTCACATGATGACGATGGAAAGTGGGGACTTCACCCCCCTACAACCCGCCAGTGCACCCATTACCCCGGAGGGCTTCCTGCTGGTTGTGGTGGTATAAATGGTGCTCCGTGCAGGATCGCAGGATCACTCTTCTTGCCCAGTCTTTCATTTTCCCTGGAGTGGGCAATCTCACTTTGCTTTTCATCACTTCTCCCTAGTTTATCCCGGACGTTCTTCCCTGGAGCCTCTTCAGCTCAGGTGTCCTGTCAGGATCATTGTCTCAGGGCTGCTCTTCTTGGGCCTCCACGGGTCTCCCTCCATCATGGTGGAGCTTCTTTTGGCTTCTGTGTTGGTCTGAGATCCTCCCTTTTTGCCGTTTGCGCCCTTGTCTTGGGCCACATCCTGTCGTAGATTCCCGAGAGAAGGTGTATGGGATGTGAACCTTTTTTTTCTTCCTTTTTCAGTTTGAGCCTTTTTTAAAAAAATCTTTTTAACATTTTGGGGGTATTATTTATTTATTTGCTTGGGGGAGGTGATTAGGTTGGCTTGTTTGTTTGTTTAATGGAGGTCCTGGGGATTGAACCCAGGACCTTGTGCATGCTAAGCACGCGCTCCACCACGGAGCTACACTCTCCCTCTGGGACATGAACCTTTAAAAGGGTTCCTGTATGCTCTTCACCTGGATTCCCCAGCTTAACACACTGCCTCATTTACTCTCCTCTCACCCTGCCCCACCTTGCCCTGTATATAAATACTGTTTTTGCTGGAAGTTGCAGACCTGAAACCTCTTTACTCCCAAATGCTGAAGCATCACTTTCCTGCAAAGACATAACCGCAGTATAGTGATCGGAGTGTGGGAGCCGAAATGGATACGGTGCTGTTATCTGCCGTGCAGGGCTCAATCTGAGTCCCCATTTGCCCCAGTGATGTGCTTCATGGTACATGGAACTCCCACATCACGTATGTTCAGTTTCCCGGTGGGGAACTCTTCTTCCATCTTCTTTGTCTTTAAAACTGACGTTTCAAAGGTGAGTTATTGTGCTCTTTCTGGGTGGAAGGTGAATTTTCCTTTTTGTGTTAAGTATGTTCATCCTACCCTGACACTTAGTGTTTTGGCTGATGAAAGAGTTGGAGAGAAGTCTCCCCGGGGATCAGATTAATGTCCCTCGGGAGGTCCCCTTAGGGATTGCCTCACTTCTCCTCAGAGTACCCCCCAGGATCCAGTCCTCTCCCCTTCGGCAGTCACCCTCAGACAGAGGGCGTCATCTCTAAGTCTCCCCCAGGATCCAGTCCTCTCGCCTCAGAAAGTCTCCCTAGGGACTGGTCGTCCCTCCTTAAGCATTTTGCCTCAGGATGAGGCCATCTCTCCTCAGATTGTCTTCCTCGTGATCCTGTCAACACTCCTGAGAAAGTCTCCCTCAGGATGAGGTCCTCCCACCTCAGAGACCTCCAGAAGGAGCAGGTCGTCACTCCTCGTGTTGTCTCCCTCAGGATCCCGTCAACCTGCCTCAGAAAGTCTCCCCTGGAATTCAGTCTGCTCTCCTCACAGTCTCCTGCAGGACTGGGTCATCCCTGCTCTGACATTCTCTCTCAGGATGGGGTCATTTCTCCTCCAGAAATCTCCCTCGGGATCAACTCATGTCTCCTAGGATTGCCTCCCTCAGGATCCCGTCAACCCTCCCCTGAAGGTCTCCCTCAGGCTCAGGCCATTCTCTTCAGGATGTGTCCCTCGGGATCGGATTATTCCTCCTCAGAAGGCCTTTTTAACGAGGCGGTCACCTCTCCTTGGAAAATCTCCCGACCCGGGATTCAGTCTGCCCTCCTGACGGAGCCTCCTCAGGACCCAGGCTTCCCAGGAAGTCTCCCTCAGGGTGGGCTCGCTGCTGCCCCGGTGCCCAGGGCTTCTGTGCTGTGTGGGATGCTCGGTGACGCGGCTTCTGCTCCTTTCACTTCGAGGACCTTTCTGGGCCCCTGTGTGTCTGTCACGCTGGGCCTTTGAATAGTTATTTCTGGATGACTTTATTTTTTCTGTCTTCTTAAAGTCCTGGAACAATTATTTTTGGCCACTTGGATGACTCTTCTAATTTCATTGTGCTCCCGAACCAAACTCGGGCCCCCTCCCCTGCACGCGGTGAAGCCAGCTCCACTGGTGCCGCGTTTGCTAAGGGGCCAGACGAGGAGAGCAGGCGGCTCAGGCTCAAGAAACCCGAACTTCCCGGAGCGTTTCAGCAACGCATTTTAAGGGCCAGGTGAGGGAGGGGGTCCCGGCTGCGCGCGGTTCTCCGAGTGGTTGATGGTGTGGTAACGGGCGGTGTCACAGATTAACATCCTCCGTCCTGAGGGGCCAGTAGGTCCGGGGGCTGCGTGCTCATGACCCCCGCGGTCATTTCTTCCATTTGGTGGTGGTTTCAGCATCTGAAAAACTCAGGAAACGTGCATCAGACGCTGTTCTCTGGGTGCTTCAGGGAGGAGTTAAGTGGAGGACGTGGGGGCGGGTCTGCCGGGGTTGGGGGGCAGGAGCGTCCTCCCGGCCTCGGCTGCCCTTTCTGTTTTCTGCCTGGCCTTTTGGGTCTAGGAGTTTCCTGCTATGTACTCCACCCCCTCTTTCCTCCTTTTTCTGTCTTGGTTGATACGTTCCAGGTACCCCAGAGCTCTCTTTGTTGTCTGCTGTGTTTAATAGCACCTTTTTTTAACCAGACACAGTGAGTCCTTGCATCTTGGAGGACATTAACGGTAGTTAGGGTTCTCTTTTCTCTTGTATTTCAAGTCTCCTTCTTGCGTGGTCTTCGCCTCGCCCAGCGGTTGGCCTCCGTGGCTGGTTTTGGTTCATCTCATTTACAGGCTTCCCAGGAACGCTGGTGCGGGCCATCCGTCACCCTTGTTAGGGCCAGGGCGCTGGGTAAGAGGACACTGGGGCTTCACTGGGGGTGCCCTCCTGCCGTCAGTGTCCTGGCACTGGCCTCCCGGGCCGGTCATGTTCCCTGAGACGCCCCCGCCGTCCCCACGTCCCCCTCCTAGGCAGCTGTGGGGAGGGACCCAGAGTTTCCACCTTTCTGAGCTGGGGGGTCTCCACGGTGGCTCCAGCACCCTGGGCTTGCTGGCTCAGGTATGCGCTTGCGTTTGCTGCGGTTTCTAGGAGCCCGCTGCCTGCGCTGCCGTCTCAGGGCTGCTCTCTGTCCCCGTGAGCAGTTACCCTTCCCCCTGACTCACCAGGCGGGTCTGGGAGGGTTTGGAGGTCAGCACACACCCAGTGCGCCTCCTTCATTCAACTGGTCCTAAGTTCACTGAATCGTACTCTGTACCTTGCTTTCAAGAAATCCTAACAGTGTAACACTTCCTTGTGCTTAAAAAATCTGTGAAAGTGTCCGTAATGGCTGGTTAACATCTTCGTATGGCTTTACTCTCGTGGCTTAAGGCACCCCGTCATTGACCATTTAAGTGTCCCCCTTCTTCTGAGCTTTACAAATGATACTGAAATGAACACCCTGTCCTTAAAATAACACGATGTGTGTCCTGGGGAGAGAGCCCGCCGGACTGAGCCGAGGAAGCTGAGCCCTGGGGCATTCCCGGGAGGCTCTTGGAGGGGAGCGGAGACGGGCTTTTGCGGCCGTTTTCCTTTCTTATTAATCTGGGAAGCAGTCTTCCTGTGCAGACGGCGGGAATGGCCCCTTTGTGGGTTTAGGCGCCTGTCCACAGGTGAACTCCCCGGGCGGCTCCGGGCCCGCAGCGCCCCCTGGTGGTTCCCGTCGCGGGCCAGCTGCTCGGCCAAGGCGGGAATTGCCGCGTGGAGGCATCGTTCTCCACGGTGGGGAGAAAACGATGAAGCCCAGAGAAGGATGATGTAACTTAAAAAAAAAAAGCAGCAGAAGGCAACCCTGAAGACTCAGGGGCTGAGGGGCAGGGAGAGCCCCTCTGCGCTTGGTGACCCTCCCAAGGAGCCAGACCTGGGCTGTGTTGCCCTGAGGGATGGGCAGAGCCCTGGGGATGGCGCGCGGGGTCCCCAGCTCCGTGGTGGCAGGTGGCCCCTCGTCCCCCGCGCTGCCAGGGGCCTGCAGAGCTGAGGCCACTGGGGGGAGCCTCCTGGGGCCAAGATGACCAGACACAACAGGAGGTGAAGGCACAGATTTTTCCTTCAGGAGAGTTTCTGAGCAAAGGCCTTTTTCTGGACGTGGTTCTGCGCCTCCCTCCAGAGGGGGCAGCTGGTTGCATGGGCCTCTCCCCTTCACGTCCAGGTAGGGGTGTTCAGGCCCTGCCTCCTGTGTGTGGCCCCCTACACTCCCACCTGGCCTTCCTCCCTCTCCCCGGCCTTCCCAGGTGCTGCCCCCACGTGGCCGACCTGAAGAGGGGCTCCGTGATGCTCTGCGGGGGTGCCCGCCGCCTCCCCGAGAACGCCCGCTGTGGGGCTGCGATGGCAAATCTCACACCCTCCAGACGCACTCAGGGTCCTGGGATCCCTGCTCCAGACGCCGGGTCCCCTCAGCGGGCAGAGGCCCTGGGGTCAAGGGTCCTAGAACACGGGGTCCTGCAGGTTGAGTTTTCCTCGGCAGAGTGAGAGCTGGGGGCTCTGGGTCGGGGGTCGACCCTGCAGGCAGGCGGTGAGCGGGCAGGTCTGTACACAGAGCCCTGTGCTTGTGCGCCGAGGACGGGCACCACAGGGCTAATGAGCCGCCAGCCGGCTGCCCGCAGACCTGCGGTGATCCCGTGCTCACATCTGCTTCTCCATCAGATGCTGGACGAGAACCACCACCTGATCCAGTGCATCCTGGACTACCAGAGCAAGGGCAAGGCTGCCGAGTGCACCCAGTAAGTGGCCACGCCACCCAGGCCCGTCCTGCCTCCCCTGGGGCTTAGCCACCTGGGTGAGTGGGGCTGTGGGGTCAGCTGAGCTGCTGAGATGCCCCTTGGAGGGCAGCCTCGCTCCCCCTGGCTCACTGCCCCTGAGAGGTGCCAGGTTTGGAGGGACACAGGAGTGTGGGGGGAGGGGATGGCTGCAGGGGGTGTCCAGGCTGGCCACACCAGGGGATAGCAGGCTCCTCCAGATAGGCCCTCGTGTGACCCCGGGGCCAGATGCAGAGTCACAGGGGCATTCTGACTGTGTCGAGTTAGCCTGGTGCCAGTGTCCACTGGAGGAGGCTGGTCCCCTGGCATCCCCTCCTGCATCCTTCCAGCTCTGCCTTGTTGTGACCCACCCTGACTTCTGTCCCCTGAGCAGACCTGGTGGCACCCCCCCCCCTTGGCCTCCACCACCACCACCCCTCCCCTCCCCGCCTGGCCCATCTCAGACCACCAAGTGTTCTGCCCCCAGCCCCGTCCCCTGGGCAAGGCTGTCTTGTGGCTCCTCTGCTTCACCTGCACCCCTCCCTGCAGGTACCAGCAGATTCTGCACCGGAACCTGGTCTACCTGGCCACGATCGCAGACTCCAACCAGAACATGCAGTCCCTGCTGCCCGCCGTGAGTGCCTGCCAACGGGGGGGAGGGGCTCCCCCTTGCCCATTGCAGTCAGGCAGGGCCTCAGACCCCTTGGGGTTCCCTGCAGCAGCTCAGGGGACTGATGGCGTGAGTGGTGTGGGTGGGACTCCCTGACATACAGAAAGTGAACTGGTTGAGGTCCTGCTGTCGGCTTCTTTAGCAAAGGGAGGTGACCCAGGGAAGCCAAACCTAAACAGTGGGAAGCAGGTCTGGGGGAAAACAAGAAGGGGGCCCAGGGATTCCGGCTTGTCACTGTGAGCCACTCTGAGCGACTTGAAATTTGTGACCTATGAGCATGCATTGCTCTGATTCACCCACAAAACTTTAAAAGGTGCCAGCACAGTAAACCCTTCCAGTGTGAATGCAGACATGTTACTTTCTGTTAGACTTTTAAAACTGTATCTTCCCCACATTAAGTTGTTGCTGGGAAAGCAGGGTCCAGCAGCGGCTGCCTCAGGCCTCCTTCGAGGTGAGCAGAGAGGCACAGCCGTGGTGACCGGGCTGGCTGCTGGGTTCCAGCACAGATGTGGTGCTGGCAGCAGCCAACCTCCAAGGCCCCTGGCCCCGGGAACACGGTGACATTGTGAACACCAGGATGTGTTTTGCTAGTAAGGATGTTACACCAGCCTTGATTGCCCAGTCACGTCGGGGTCCCTCACCCTGCAGATGCCAGCGATCCTGCTGGAAACTCCATTTCCTTGGCCAGGTGTAGACAGCTTTGATCTGAACCTTCGGAGCGGCTGTTTGATCCAGACCTGGGGGGTGGGGGTGCAGGGGGCCGCTTGTAAGCTCCACCTCCCTCCTGTGTCCTGTGACCAGAGGTGGGCTTGGGGGTGGGCCAGGAGGGGGCAGGGTGCCTGGGGCACAGGTCTGGCCATACAAGGACCCTAGGGCGCAGGGGCTGTGAGGGACAGGGCCGGCCGGCCTGCTGAGACCCAGTGGGGTGGGGAGGGGGTGGAGCAGGATGACACAGCTGGTGGGACGGCAAAGCAGTTCCCTGAACCCCGGGAAGGGGACCCAGCTTTGGGCCTCCAAATGTGCGTTGATAAGCTTGGCTGGCGCTTGGTGGGTGTGTCATCTCCATCTTGGCCTGAGTGTCTGGGCCGGTCGTCCGTGGTCGTCCCTCCAAGGGATTAGAGGCGTCCGCCGGGTGGCCGTGAAGTGAGGCTGCAACTCTCAGGGACAGCTGAACCTGGAGTGGCTTCTGGTGGCTGTTCTGAGTTAACGGTCCTCTCGGTGACCTTCCTGTTGCCACAGCCGCCCACCCAGAGCATGACGCTGGGCCCCGGAGGGCTGTCCCAGAGTGGCTCCAGCCAGGGCCTGCACTCCCAGGGAAGCCTCAGTGATGCCATCGGCGCGGGCCTGCCGCCGTCCTCCCTCATGCAGGCCCAGATCGGCAACGGTCAGTAGCCGGGGCGTGTCGGGGTCAGGTCGGGTCTAGGGAACAGAACAGGCCCTGGGCGGCTGGGACCCTCTGCTCCAGGGGGGCCCTTCCACGGGCACATGTGTGCGGTAGCAAGCAGGGGAGTAAAGCCCTCACTCCAGGGCCCCTGCTTGGCTGCGACACTGTCGGTTTGGGGCCACATCATCTCAGCATGAGCTTCTGTGGGGGCTTCCGTAGACATTCCTGTCCTTGGGTCAAGAACCACTAAAGCCACCGGGAACCACTGACGACAGCGTAGCAGTGGGCCGGCAGCTCCTCTTCAGCATCAGGCCCCTTCCCGTCGTTCGTGGGGCCACGGGCCTCGGTCGGCCTCCTCCTCGCAGTCGCTGGAAGGAAGCGCGGGTCCTGGCACGAGGCCAGGGCTGCCGTCAGGGGGTTTCGGTGGGTTTCAGTCTCCCCTGCCCCTCCTGGCAGGCCCAAACCACGTGTCCATGCAGCAGACGGCGCAGAGCACGCTGCCCACGACCTCCATGAGCATGTCCGGCAGCAGCCACGGCTCAGGGCCCGGCTACAGCCACTCCGGCCCGGCCTCGCAGAGCGTGCCTCTGCAGGGCCAGGGCACCATCAGCAACTACGTGTCTCGGGCCAACATCAACATGCAGTCCAACCCAGGTACCGCCCCGCCCGGCCCCGGGACCCTCCCACGC